GGGGATCTGAATGGTGAATTCTGGCTGGGCAATGAGAACATCCACAAGATAACAAGCCAGGGAGACTACTCTCTGCGTATCGACATGGAGGACTGGAACAACAAACACAAGCATGCCTTCTACCAGATCTTCAGGTAGGCTTTCCCTGGGTCATGGTAGCTGCAAATGGTTCAATGCCAGAAGACACTGAATGATAGGACAAAAGGGAATGTCCTCAAGTTTTGTTCAGGTCGGATGTTAGGAAATGTTTCCTCTCTGAAAGAGCAGTGATGCAGTGGCACAGCTGCCCAGGGGGGTGGTGGGGTCACCGTCCCAGGAGGTGTTCCAGAACTGTGGGGATGTGGCACTGTGGGCAGTGGGCAATATTGGTGGTAGGCGGACAGTTGGACTTGATCTTAGAGGTCTTTTCCCACCTGAATGATTCTATAAAACCTCCAGGTATGGGAATCCCACTGTGGCACAGTCCCCTGCAGCTAAATGGTGATTCTGCTCAGACTACCAATTTCAGTGTCAAAAACAGGGGCTTGAATCCCATGGTTTTTCTGGACAGGTTCTCCTGCACCTCCATTCTTTGGGGTCGTGTTTTCATTTTTACCCCCTGTATTCATGGATTTTACCTGTTGTGTCTGACGTAATATTATTCAGCATCTGCAGCTTTTTCCCTCCTCTGGAGTTTGTATTACCCATACCACATCAGCCACATCCTTTCTGAAGCAAGGATGACCAGGTGGCTGTCCCAGATGAAATACTTCCTTCTCTCAGCTGGAAATGGTTGTGGGTGACTGTGGAATAGCCTGCCATGGGAGGGTGTGTGAGGCAGCACGGAACATTTGGAGCTTGCGGGCTTAGAGTAGACACCAAAATAGCTGAATCTAGTTAAAAGCAAAACAAAACATTGCCTGAAAGTGCCTTGGAGCATCCTCTGCCATCAAACACATGCTCTGAATGGTCACCCTGACCTTTCTCATCAGATGTCTTGTGCAATGGCAATGACCTTCAACCCTTGCTAGCTCAGGACTAATTACTAATTGTCGCAGTATAGGTGAAGAATAAGTTGTGGAGAGGAAGCAGTGCTGTGTAATTAGGGAACTGTCTTGCCAAAGCTTCCGAAGCACTTTATTGTGGTTTTAGAGTCACAGTCTGCCCAGCTCAAACCTATAAGAGCTGCCCTGAGTCACGACACAAGCATGCACATCCCACAGAATGGAGAAATACAATGTCTTTGGCTTTTAGAGGTGATGAATCACAGCGGGGATCATGGCCAGAGCAGCTCAATGATTTCTAGGTGTCCCCACCAGGAATGCAGGCTCTGCACTCCCCACCTGCATCCTTTGCTTGCAGCATCGAGGACGAGGCCAACTCTTACCGCCTGCACGTGGATGGGTTCAGCGGGACGGTGGAGGATTCCTTTGCCTGGTACCACAACAAGAGGAGCTTCAGCACACCCGACTCAGGCAACATCTGTGCTGAGATCTCCCACGGGGGCTGGTGGTACCACCAGTGCTTCTTCTCCAACCTCAACGGGGTGTACTACAAGGTGAGGCGCAGGGGCAAGGAGCCAGGTGTTAGCACACAGAGTGCTTTTTCAGTGCCATGGGCCAGACACGAGCATTAAGGCACGCCGTGCCTTGGGACCGCATGATGGAAACTCGCAGCGCGGGTGATTCATGCGACCTGAGTTGCCACCTCCATTGGGAGCATTTGAAAAATGTTGAGCTTTACGTGCTCTTGTCACTGCATCGCCGTTAAGCTCTTTGCTCGGTGTTTCAGAGCAATCTTTTTTCGGATGCTCCCATCCGGATGACACTTCTCATGCCCGACCATCTCTCTTTCTCTGCCTCCCAGGGTGGCCGATACTCCATTAAGAACCGCAAGATCCTCGGGCCGGATGGCGTTGTGTGGTACTCATGGAAGGACACAGACTACTACTCCCTGAGGAAGGTCGTCATGATGATTCGACCACGCACTTTCCGGCCCCACATTTCCCCATGAAGGAGCCATGGGCATTCTTCAATCCACCTAAGAGTGAATGCTGGGAACAGAAGGCTGGGAATAGCTTGTTGTGAGGAAAAACTGGAGACCCCTGAGGAACTGAGCCACCATCCTTCCTGAATTAAACCAACAGCAGAAGCGTCAAGGCCTTCAGCAAGTGGCTGGGGGATAAAAGCTCTTCTGACAACATGGAGGTGAGTGATGAGAACTGCTTTGCAGAGATGAGCATGGAGCTTGCTGGTTCTCCAGGTAGCAGCAGTCCTTGGTGTGCTTGGGCTTCCTCAGGGCCAGAGCCCAAATCTGGACACTGGTTTTGGCTGGGTGATGGGAGTTTACGTCTGCATCCTGACTACTCTGGATGCAAATCTGACAGTAATTTCAGGCCAGGAATCTTGTGGACATTTTCCACATAGGATGTGATTGATCAGTTCTTTCTCTGTAAAAGATGAGCATCTCTCTGGGCATGGCTGTTTCTGTGTTCAGGTGAAATCTTCAGTATTTAGTACTGAAGATCCACCACTATCACAACACGGATGTCCTAGGGTGGGTTCAAGGTGCTAAGACAGCCCTGGGGATGTGGGGAAACCAAGGTTGGATGGATTCCAGAGATGAATTCATGGGAAAAATAGGAGGAAAGTCTGCAGTGGTCCCTGCTTCTGTAGCAGAGACGATTTAGCTGCCACAATTACACTCCAAATAAAAGGATTTAAGAATCAAATTGTTGACCGCTTTCCATTTTTCACCTTTCCAACCTTTTGCTGGCAAAGAACTTCTGATGAACTTTCTATCCACCTCAAAAGTGGTCTGCAGGAATGGTTAGGTATGACTTTAAGTCTTCTTTAACTGCCTTACTCTGGATAAAGATTATCACCGTTCTCTTTTAATTTTTGTAGCCACTTATCAAGCAATCTAAAACTGAGTATCTCCCTGAGAATAAAACAATATTATTTGTGGTTTGCCTTGGTAGCCTTCTACGGCAGTTGTTTCCAAGACTGATGGTGTTTGGGGATTGCAATGGAATGTTCTTTGCCATCATGTGCAAGGAGCACCAGGGCACTACCAGTGATGAATGGAGAGCTTTCTTGCTTCATGACATGAGTGTCTTGCTTGGCACCATCCTTTTAGGGTCCTACCTTTGTATTGCAGGCCATGATGTCCGCTGATTAACCAATATTCTACTAAGAGACTAATAAATTACTTCACCAATGCCTCTTTAATATGCTGACACCATTATAGTGCTGTCTAGAGTGCAATGGGGCAGGAAATTGTACTGACAGAGCCTCACTGAGTGGCAGACACTCTGCTGGCTCCTTGCTGCCCTCACTGGACAGCCCCATGGACCCACATTTGTTGCTATGTCTGCAATTGAACTTTGTATCTTGCTGGGGGTCTAGCTACATGATCTGGCATGATTTTGCTGCCCAAGTCAGAAGAAAGCCTGGAACAGTTCTCTTCTGATGTCTTGTGTCAATGAAAGCATTTCCATCCGTGTGATAATTGAAAACCAGTGCATCCACTGGAGATGGAGAGCATCTGCCCGTGCTCCACAGGTCTCCATGGCTGGAAAAGGCATCTGAACTGGGGATGGAAGAAACACAACAAAGTCAACAAAAACTCCTTGGTGTGCATGGCGTGAGGCTGGCAAACACCTCGAGTGGGGAGAAGGTGCTGGGGAAGAGGAAGAGCAGGGAAGCTGTTATATTAGCTGTCGTATGATACAGTGCTGAAAGATAGTGCTGGAGATGTGCAATCCACAGGCTTCTCCCCAGCAAAGGTTGTGATCTCCTGCCTCTGCTCCCCATGTCCCCACTGCCCTCCTCAAAGATTCTGGGGCCTTTCTAAGTCTCCATGGTGGGAGCTCCCGCAGTGTCTCTCTGCCTCCTCCATCCTCAGCCCAGCACGGGTTCCTCTTTCCATGATGTCATGATTTTTCCATTCCTTCAGGCCCCTCTCGGCACATGCTGTTGTGGTCTATGACATAGAGTCCTTGGGTGAAGCAGTATATTCTCTTCTTCTCCATTTTCTTTTCTTGTAAAACTTTTATTAAAATAAGATGCACTGAACAAAGCAGAGAGATTTTTGCTGTGGGTTTACACAGCTCCTACAAATCTGCTGGTGATCAGCCTCAAGAATCAAGCTGATGTCATCTGTACAAGAGCTATGCATCTTGCCTATTCCTTTTGCCTGTGGCTCTTCTTCCCTTTTCGGATTTAACAGGCTCTTTTATTGCCCCCTGCTCCTCTCCCACAGAGGATGAGTGTGATGGGTACTGAGCATCACAACCCTGCTTCCACAGGAAGGTCTGGATTCCCTCTGGGATTTGCATTAATGCTGGCACTGAATCCCACACCCATGGGAGCATCTTTCCTTTGGTAAACTGGTTCTAAATTTTGCCCCCACCCAAAAGAACACAATACACACACACCACACACTGCACAGGTCATGAGAAAACAAAAGAAATGCCAAGGCAGTTTATTTACAATTGTTGTATACAAAAAAAGGACAGCTCGTGTCACAGCTAGAACAGCCCCTTCCATCTCCTTCACTCACTGCCTTCTCCCACATTCCCATTTTTGACAGCCCCTCCAGGCTCAAGGCTGGCCCCATCCCGGCTCCAGGGTTGGGGAAAGAATCTCATGGCAAGAGAAAAGACATGGCTCCCCCTGGATCTGAATCAGTGCTAGGAGAACCTTATCTGGCCATAGAGGAGACTGAGACCTTGGTTTGGAGCAGGGTTAGAGGTGCCAGGGTCAGGCTGCATTTTGGGTGTATCCCATCCCTGCTTTCCAGCGTGGGGTCATAGAATCATAGCATGGTTTAGGTTGGAGGGGACCTTAAAGATCATCCAGTTCCAACCTTCTGCCTTGGGCAGTGCTGCCACCCACCAAATCAGGCTGCCCTGGGCTCCTTCCAGCCTGGCCTTGAGTGCCTCCAGGGATGAGGCACCCATAGCTTCTCTGGGCAGCCTATGCCAGTGTTGGTCCTTTTTGCCTCTTGTTTTTTTTTTTTGTTCTATCACAGCTTCCACAGCCTTGCCCAGTTTCCCTCTCCTGCTCCAACCCTCCCTGTTCAAACACCCATTTAAGCTGCTGACTCTGAAAGCTGACGGCTTTCCTGCTGCCCTAAAGCAGAAAAGGGGATTTCATCCAAGAGTGCCCGAGAAGATGAGCCTTGGGAGATCTCTTACAAAATCCAGCAGCTCTTTGGGAAGTCATGGGGCTTTCCAAATTCACCCTTGGAAAGGATCATCCTGCAGCCAAGTAAAGCCTTTGGACTCCCTCCACGGAGGGCTCTCCTCGCCCCCATCCCCGAAACAGTGCCGTGAGGTCTGCGGGGCTGTAAGCTCCAAATCCAGGCCATGAAGATGAGGTGGGATGGAGAAAGGAGGGTCACTGAGAGATGCCATTGCCCCACTGGGGTGGGACAGAGGAGAATCACAGCTGGAGGGGCTCTTGCCTGCCCAGCACCAAACGAAAGTCACACACAATGCACATTCCCCCTTCCCCTCCCCACCCACTCCATCCCCACTTCTCTGGTCCCAGGTTGGATCCTTCCGACCTCCTGGACGGGCGGCGCTGATGGACCCCATGGAGACGTCTGCCTCGAGTCCCACCCGTCCGCTCACCTCCCTCCCCACCCTCCCCAAAACGACTAGGATGGCTTCACTGGTCAACTCTGTACATTCACAAACAACAAAAGCAGAGGGACGTCCCTTTCCGCCGGCCGGCCCGGTGCTGCGGCAGCCTCCACACCTCCCGGAGCTGTCAGTCCAAGCATCGCCTCTTTACCTGGAGGCCTCTTCCTTGAGCTCCTTGTTTTTCCTCACTTCTTCCGCATGTTTGTCCTGTGGGGAGGTGGGAGGGAAGGAGGGACGTGTTAGATCGCCCGACTTCGGGCCGGCGGCTTCGCAGGGGTTTCGAAGGCACGAGGTTCGTCCCCGCGGGGACACCGGTGGGTCAACAGCGTCCTCTCCTCCCCCAGGGTGTTTTAAGGACGGTGGAGGCACTCAGGGACAGACAGAACGATTGTCCTTGCCCTCTATCTAGGAGGTAGACGTCCACCAGACAAGATGGAGCGGGAACCCCGAGGAGATGGGGCGAGCTCGGATTGTCCGCCATTATCTCGTACTCTCTGCCTCTGACCCAAGGCTGGCTGAGGAGCTTGGAGAAGGGCACTGGGTGGGCTCCGTGCAGAAGGAATGGTTTGGAGGGAGCTGGAGGTGGTGAGGGTGGGACCTTCCGTGCGGAGGTTGGGAGCAGACCTGCTTCGGGGAGAGAGAGGAGGTGTCTGCTCACACCGGCAGGGTGGGAGCACCTCCGACATGGCGGCATGGCCCCTCCAGCTCCCACCAGTACGTCGGGCTCGCAGTGTCCCCATGCGTGACCCCCCACCCCGGGTGGGATGTGGTATTGGGGTAGAAGAAGAGGCCCCCCATTGGTGGTGCCCCCGGGGTTAGCGTCACACCAAGAGCCACGTATCCCACCCCTGCTCTCCAGCGTGGGGTCATAGAACCAAAGAATGGCTTAGATTGGAGCGGACCTTAAAGATCATCTAGTTCCAACCCCTTTTCATGGGCAGGGCTGCCAACCAGTAGATCAGGATGCCCAGGGCCCCATCCAACCTGAGCTGGTCCTGCGGCACCCTCCTGTCCCTGTGCATCCCCCCTCCATCCTTGCAAGACCCTCACCTTTTCCTGTAAGCGCTCCAGCATGGCTGCTAAATGGGCCTCGCGGTTCTCTTTGTTGGACTCCATCTTCTGCGCCAGCTTCTCCTTGGCCATTTTGATGAAGTTGTTGTTTTCCTCAATGGCCTTTTGGATGACCTCCCGCTCGTGCTCCCGCTTCTCTGCCAGGTGCTTCAACAGCTCGGCCTCTTGGTACTGTGCAGACAAAACCGTGGCCATGTGGACCGCAGGGACCATAGGTTCCTTCCCATCCCAGCTGAAAATGTCCCCTCCAAACTAAGTGATGGCCCCAAAGTGGGCTGTGCCATGGGAGTGAGAACCCCAAGTGCGAGGCTGTGTGTCCCCGTGGCACATCCCTATGCTGCCGTGCTGAGGAAGACCCCTTGCGCCTACCTTCCTCCTCTCCTCTGCTGCCTCTAGCTTCTTCTGGATCTCCTCCAGTGATGGGTCGCGCCGCCGGGGCAGTGAGGCATTGAACTCAGGAATGCCATCGAATGATGGGGGCTTCAGGATGACCTCGAAAGATTGCCCCGAGGTGCGCTTGTTGAGTTCAATGACTTCCATGTCGGAGATGACACACCAAGTGAGGTCTACCGTGTCTGCTGGAAGAGGGACTTGGTGTGACCTCCAGCATTGGCACATCCCACCCTCTGCCTCCCATGCCCTGGGTGATGAACAGACAGAGAGCAGCCCTGCAGGGAAAAACCTGGGGAGGCTGGTTGATGAAATGGACTGCCAGTGTTGGAGCCAGGCCAGAGGAGGGCCACAAAAATGATCAGAAACCTGGAGCACCTCTTCTATGAAGAGGGGTTGAGAGAACTGGGGCTGCTCAGCCCCAAGAAAAGAAAGCTCCAGGGAGACCTAATAGCAGCTTTCCAGTACCCAAAGGGGGCTTATGGGAAAGATGTAGGCTTTTTGCCTGTAGTGACAGGACAAGGTGCAATGGCTTTAAATAGAAATGGGGTAGATTTAGACTGGAAATAAGGAGGCTGGTGAGGCACTGGTCCATATGTACCAGAAAAGTTGTGGGTTTTCCATCACTTGAAGAGTTCAAGGTTGGATTGGATGGGGATTTGAGCAACGTGCTCCAGTGAAAGATGTCTGTGTCTATGCAAGAGAGATTGGACGGTATCCCTTTGGCCCGAAATGATTCTTTATCTTTGGATAAGCATTCTACATGCCACCACCTTCCCATCTCTCCATGGTTTTCAAGCAAGACCCATACCCCAAATGCATTCCATATTTCCACCCTCTATCCTGTGAGCTGCGGTAGGGAGCCCAGCCTACCCATTGGGTCCTACCTTCATATGTGTATGCTGGTTTGTTCAGGGGGTCTGAGAGGAAGCAGGAACAGAAGAGGGAGACGAGAGGCAGCTCCTTCATCTTCTCTTTGTAAGCTGGGGAGAGATGGTGGGAGTGGGGTCAGGATGTGGGAGTCTTGCCATTTGCCTGGGATGGGGATGGTGGCTGGCATTGGAGTTTGCCCAGATGTTGCCAACAGGCTGATGCAGGAGGGATAAACAAGGTATGTAAATGCACTGTGTAATGGGGAAACCGAGGCACTCAGTGATGGGGTTCTTTTCTCAAAACAGGAAACATCTGTCCTGGTGTGTTAACCGCACATGTGACCCCTTGCCTGGCACTTCTGGGATGCCATCAGCACCCCAGGGCAGGGATCAATCCAGGGCAGGACCATTTCTGGGTGGTCTGGATGAGGCCCTGGTCAGATGAGGGGATCAGGGGATGCTCCAAAATGGAGTGGATGTCTGGATTGTGTGCACAAAGCCGTGTTGTCCCTTGTTCCCACACATGGCCCCATGACATACCGGCTAGAGTCATGGCTTGGCAATCCTTCAGTGTCTGCAGCAACAGCAGTTCTGGGGCCTGGAGATGGAAAGAGGCAGGATCAGTGCAAGGGATCCAGGGTTGGGGGACATCACTCTTCCCTATCCTCTCACCCTGGGACAGCTGCACACTGATACCGTGCCACGTGTTTGCTCTGGGTTCTGAGGGGGGCATGTACTGGTGAGATCAAATGGGCACATACTGGTGAGATGGGGTGGGTACATCATGATAAGATAGGATTGGTATATGGTGGAGAGGTGGGATTAGCACATCCCGATAAGGTGGGGTGTGCACATCTTGGTGAGATTGGATGGACATATCATGATGGGATGTGATGAGCACACATTGGTGAGATGGGATGAGTACATCATGGTGAGATGGGATGAGCACACACTGGTGAGATGGGATGGGCAGCTCCTTATGAGATGGGACTGGAACATACTGGTAAAATGGATTGAGCACACATTGGTGAGACGGGATGGGCACATCCTGGTGAGATGAGGTGCCAACACACTGGTCAGATATGATGGACACCCAGTGATGGAGTGGTATGATCTGAGGGACACTCAAATGATGGACACACACTGGTTTGCTGTGATGGTCTCATGCTGTTGGAATGGGTATCTAATGGTGTGATGTGACGTGTAAACACCACTATAGTAAGCACAGGGGCTGTGGATGAGATGGACACACACTGATGGCAGCAGCCAACACAGTGCTTTGAGCATGCATAGTCCCTCCCTGCTCCACACTGCCCGATATTTGCACAACCACACGTGTGCCCATGCGTGACTGTGCTGTGACCAGCATGCACCCACCCACCCACAGCCCACCACAAACAAGTGCAAGCATTATGCACAGCCTCTGCTGGTGCACAAGCTGAGGCTGTGCCATACCCCACGACCTTATGCATCCTTCTACAAAATGGGAGCTCATATCTATGGATTTCCAGCAACCTCCCTGCAGATGCCCTGATCCTTCTCATCCTGTATTATCCCAGAAAGTCTCGACCCCTCCCATCCCACTGGGATCCTACACAATATTCTCTTTCCTTTAGATTTTGTAATCAACCTGGCTGCTGCGTGGCAATGCTACTGGGAGGGGGGGGGAAACTGGAATGGTGTGGTGGCAGCCTGCAGGAGCACATTGACTGCAGATGCTCTCCTCTTTCCGGTGACCCTTGGAGCCAGGGCTGTTCTGATGTGGGGTTACCCACAGGTGTGACCCCTCTGAGGGCTTTCCCCATTGCCTTCCCATAGAGTTTGGCTTTGAGCAGCTGCTGCCCAGCATGGTGCCAAGGCGGGGTGGGGATGCTCTGATGTGCTCACACGAGGCTGTGCATGGAGATATGACAGCCTGGAGGAAAGAATTTGCCATGCTCCTGCCTACAAGCCTCCCATTTTTCCCCCAGGTCTTCATTTTGCCTGGGCTTTTATTGGGAACATGGTTGTATTTGGGCTCCAGAAATCCATTTTCTAGACCTGAATTTTATCTCCCAGATAAAATTCATCCATCGCCTATCAGATCCCAGGGAGGAGACTGAGGTCCATCCCTGTGCACGATGCCAGCTGGATCAAGCACCCATTGGGGCATTCGGAGGATTCCCCCATTCCCAGAGGAGCTGGGTGTGGCTGGAGCCCTGCTGCGGGTCACCTCTACCAGCTTCCTGCCATCATCAATAATTCAGTTACTATTGCCCTCTGGGTGCCTGTGGGCACATCTGGGCACAACTGGGGGCTGTGGGGTGGGGGTGAGGCTGGATGGATGCTGCAGAGCACCATCCAAGTGAGACTGCGTCAGGGGAGCGGGGAGCATGGGAAAAGCCTTGGGATTAAAAGCAGGGTGTGGGGCAGGGGGGTTCCAGGCTGTAAGGACTGGGGGGGCTGCTTCTTGCTGTATGACTGGAGGAGGTTTGCCTTACTGGGGATGCTGAGCCTGCTGAGGTGAGGGCACAAGTGTGGAAATGATCAAACCCCCTCTTCCACGACCCCTCCCCAAACTTTTCAAGGCATTTTTTTTCCAGAAACTAACCCCCCAATACATCCATCCAAAGCTATGCATCCATCCAGAGCAACATTCATCCGAAGCAGTACATCCGACATCCAACCCCCATCCATCCATCCATCCATCCATCCATCCAACTCCATCCATCCATCCAATCCCATCCATCCATCTGACCTCATCCATCCAACTCCATCCGTTCATCCAACTCCATGCATCCACTCAATCCCAGTGCATACATTCAACCACATCCACCCATCCGACTCCATATACATATCCAGCCCCATCCATCTATCCGACTCTATCCGTTCAACTCCCTACGTCCATCCAACTCCATCCATCCAGTCCCAATACACGTATCTCACCCCATCCACCCATCCAACCCCGTCCTCCCATCTGACTGTCTGTCCGTCCATCCGTCCATCTGTCCATCCATTCATCCATCCAACTCCAGTACATATATCCTACTCCAAATGTCCATCCAAAGCAGTGTACCCATCCAACCCCACATGCACCTATCCAATCCCATACACACACCCAAACCCATACCTCCATCCTGTTCCACGCATCCATTTCACCTCCTCATCCACAAAACACACCCCACCCATAAGACCCCCCCCTCCCCTCCCCGTACATCTATCTAAAGCAATACATCCATCCCACCCCTCAGACACATATCCAACTCCAATACATCCGTCTGACCCCCTCCCCAAGAAAACAACCCCCCCCATCCATCAGACCCCCCACTCCCCCAAGCATCCATCCATCCATCCGCCTGCTGCACTCACCGCACTGTCGGTGCCTGCGCTGCCTCCCCGTGCTCTCCAGGCTCTTTAACGTGGGCGCGGGGGTCTGCACTGAGCCTCCCCCCCCCCGGGGGGGGCCCATCGCCCTATGACATCACCTCCCCGGCCGGGGATTGGAGCAGCATTCAATCGCTCTGATTGGATCCGATCTGTGCGAACCCGGGAGCAGCACGGTGATGTCACAGCCCGGCAGCTATTTTCAGGGATTGGGGATGGGAAAAAAAAAAAAAAAAAAAAAGAAGGGGAGACTGAAAAAAAAAAATAGAAAAAGAATTGAAAATAAAAAAATGAAAAAAATGGTGAAAAAAAATAATGGTAGGGAGGCTAGGTGGCAAAAATGCCCCCAAATGGGATTTTTTGTTTTCTGTGCGAGCAGTGGTGGTGATGTTGCTGTCACCCAATGGGGGTCCCAGTGTGTGCTGGGGTGTGGGCACAGTGGGTGGATGTAATTCCCTGTTCCAGTGGGACAAAATGGGGACGGACAGAGTGACAAGGGGACCTCTCTGCTTAGGGGAATTGGAGAACCCTGCGCTCCTCCCAGTGACCCCAAAAGGGGATGAATTGCGCCATGTGCATGGACCAACCTTTGTGGATTTTAAGTGGTGGCATGGCCCCATCACCCCACAGCTCCATTCTCCCAGGGCCAGGACGTGTCCCAAGGTGGTGTGACCCCAAAACCACTTGAGGACCACTTCTGCCAAACCAGGCAATGGGGACTTTGAGATGCCAAGTCCCAGATCCTGAAGCTATTTTGGTGTGATGTCCCCTGGGGTAAGTGGATCCGGAGCTGGGACATCACTCAGTACCATGCACTTCCCCTCAGCTGAATCTCCTTCCCCCTGTTCTCTTCACCCTGGCCTATTTCTCACTGACAGCTGTGTCTGATGGAGATCACATCCTGACACCTCCAGGGGACTGTGTGGGTATATTTAGGCACTGCTCTCCTCCATTACGCAAATGGGCGTTCAGCTGTGGGGAGGTGTTTTCCCCCTGGAAAACGAATATAGGGTGGCATGCTGGCCCAAACATGGGAAGGGGAGAGTGACCCAACTAGAAATAGGGTGACATTGCACAAGTGACACCACAGCATGGCAGAGCTTGGGACGTTTGTCCATGGTTTGTCCATCCATTTATCCAATGGGTGAAGGATCCTTTTGGGCATAACATGCCCCCAGTGCAGATGGGATGAGATGGACAAACTCCCCCACCAAGACAGAGCTGGACAAGAGGAGAACAGGCAGAGGGGAGAGGTGCAGGGTGCTCATAGGGTGGGGCTGGTGGAGATCAAAGTGGGGTTTTAGTGGGGTCCAAACTATGGAGTAGGAGAAGAATCGCCAAGGGAGGGGAGCACATAAAGGAGCAAGGGGAGGACAAACAACCAAACACAGCAATCAGCAGCAGACAAACAGCCATTGTGGCAGTATGACCGTCCCTGCTGTGACTGGCACTGGCTGAACACATGGCACCCTCTGGGGGGGGGGCTCTGCTCAAAGGCTCCTTTGAGCTCCCTGCAGGTGTTGGCTCATGGCACAAACGCATCCCTGGGAGCACATCCTAGCCCCACAGCCCCAAAGGAGCAGCACAGAGGTGGGGGCTTGGTGACCACCCAGCTCAGGGCCATCATCTTGCACCCCGAAAGCCCACTGGGGATGGCTGTTATTGTGCTCTGGCAGCAGCTCCCTGTGGTCTCAGGAATGGGTTGATGGTTGGACTTGATCTTATTTGTCTTTTCAATGATTCTACTTAGGGATGTTGTTAGAGAGCATGGTGGGGATGAGTCAACAGCTGGACTTGGAAGTCTTTTCCTATCTTCATGACACTTCTGTGACCGTGGGGATGGAGTGAAGGTATTTCTGCTGTTTCACCCTAAGCCCTTTCCAAAAACGCCTGGGGAGGCTCAGCATCACCCCACTGGATTGCCATCCCAGCACTTCTCCCTTCAGCTTTCAGCATCGCATCTTTGGACCCATCGATTTGAACCCTCCCAAGCACAATCTTTGCACCACGCTCAGTTTTGGCTCTTCAGTCCCATTTCCTGGCCTCCTCCCAACCCCCTCCCACTGCCTCGTGCCCACTGCAGCTCCTCCCAAGGAGGGGTCCCCCAGTGCTGGGGATACGTATAGGGCTCATTCTCCAAAAAAGAGGAGGTCTCCATCACCGCATCCTCCGTGCCCAGCCCCAGGGCTGAGGGGGATGCAAAAGGAGGGGGGGGGAGCAGAGAAAAAAACACCGCCCTCCCCTGGATTGGTCAGAAATGACATCACCTCCCGGCTGTGAGCCAATGGGAGAGTTGCCTGCTTCCCCGAAATATCGCCTGAAATGTCGCTCCATCCCCGGATGCGTCGGGCAGCATCGGCTGGGGAGAACCCACAGCCAAAAATAAGGTGGAAATCATGAGGATCAACAAGAAAACGAGAGCCCATAGTGCCACGAGTAGGAAGGTTTGAGCTAAGCTATTCAGCAGGCAGGAGCTCAGGGTGGAAGAGCCACAAAGGGGGTTTCCACACAGCACCCACCCGTGTTACCCAATGGATCTTCCAGCTCTGGGCGTGAGAGTGAATGCTCAGCCCCTGAAAGACACTGCTGCCTTAAAACTATTTCTCTGCCTCTTTGGGAATGAGATTCAGTGCTGGGGATGAAACAGCACCCTTTATTATACCAAAAAAAATAAAAATAAAAAAATAAAAAAATTGCCATCATAAGGAGCCAAGCCATTCATTCATATTGTTTCCTCCAAACAATGTTTGTTTTTTTTCCCAACAAATTGTCCAGAAAAAGTCAAAATGCTTCACTTTTGTCATCCGAAGTGATGCTTCGTTTCATCCTTTATTGCCATTTTTATGCCAGACACTGCAGGAAAACATTCCCTTTGGGCCTGACAAAGAAAAACATCGCATCCTGCTCGGCAGCTTCGCTGCTTCTTACTTCCAAAGGATGCTTTGCTGTGCCCAAACGGGCCGTGGGACGCCCAGATTTCCAGCTGGGAGGTGATGGGCAGAACAACATAGCAGGATGGTCATGCTGATCTGCCTGTGTTCCCTGTATCAGGGATGCTCGGCTGGAGATGGATCACGTCAGCCAACGTCAGCAAGGCGGAGGACCCCCGGGTTGTCCCCCCCTCAACATCTCCTTTTGTTTTTCTGTCAGCAGTGCTGGTTCCTAAGGAGCATCCTCTGCAAATGGTGAGAAACCATGGAAACAGCTTGTTAATGTCATCATCCTGCCAGGCGGTGCCTGGAGCACCGCATCCCAGGGTTTGGGAACACCTGGGTGTCCTTGGCACCATGCAGGGACTTACAGGGGAAAAGGGGTTATAATGTAAATCAAAACCCACTCAGGGTTTGGCTTTGGGGCTGTTGGTCCAGGATGCTTGGTGGGGATTCGGGAAAATGGGAGGCTGCTGTCCCCCCATAGTTGCTGGCATTGTGCTGGAGGAGCTTTTTGTCCTCTCCATTCCACCTCTGAGTGCACACTGCACATTGCCATTCCCAGAGGTGGGGATTTATGGGAAACCCCTTAAAAATGGAATGAGAAGGGATGAGCTCACTTTGCTCTGTCACGGAGGATGGAGGCAGAGGGATGTGGGCACAGACGATGAGAAACTGTGACACCAGAATTACTAGAATAGCTGTTTATTAAAGACAATTAAAAAAAAAAAAGAGGTAACGCTCATAAATTCTCTTTTTCTGTCTTCTTCTTCTTTTTTTTTTCTTTTTTTTTTCTGAGGAAAGTTGACTCTAAAAGAGCACCTGTGGAACTCCAGGACGGAGCTGACACTGGACAGAGGGACAGCAGCCCTACACAGGGACATCCTCATGGATGCGGACGCGGAGGGGACAGATGCGCAGCGCCTCAGGCGTTGCACCCACTGGTGTGCCCCCTACATAGAAATAGGGGAAGACGGTGCCTCCAAACTTCTCATGGAAGGTGAAGATGTGTGTCTTGCAGTCGGCGTTGTAGAAGGAGAGCTCGCCTTCGTCGCAGTCCAGCTCGACGCGGATACGCACCAGGTCCCCCAGTGCCACCACCGAGCGAGCCATGTTGGACGCCTGGCACATCTTGCTGTTCATCCCAGGGAGGCGATAGATATACCAGAACCCGGAACGCGCGTCATGGTGGAAGGTCCAATGGATGCTGCCACGCAGCTGGGCCACCCCGACCCTCCAGTTCGTGATGCCACCCAGGTCCACTTCCCAAGTGTGGAAGCCGGTGGAGAACCCACGGGAACCCAGGATGCAGGGGGCCGAGGTGAAACGCTCGGGGTTCTCCACCAGCAGGCGGTAGCTCCCGTTGGTGACGCTGGTCAGGTCTTCAGACACTGAGAGCCATCCTGCTGCCGAGTTGGGGTTGAAGCTGAAGGGAACTGGAGAGTGGACATGCATTAGGGACATGTGTTAGAGGCAAGAGGTAAGGGCCTCAAGTTGTGCCAGGGGAGGTTCAGGTTGGACAGTAGGAAGAAAATCTCTGAAAGAGCAGTGATGCAGTGGCACAGCTGCCCAGGGAGGTGGTGGGGTCACCAAACCTGGAGGTGCTCCAGAACCATGGGGATGTGCCACTGAGGGATGTGGGCAGTGGGCATGGTGGGGTGGGCTGGGGTTGGACGTGGGGATCTCAGAGGGCTTTTCTAACCTGAATGATTTGGTTATTCTAGGATTAGACATGGTGGGGATGGGTCAGTGGTAGGACCTGATGATCTTGGAGTTGTTTTCCAACCTTCCTGATACCATGAGTAGGTATATCGGGGATGGGCTGATGCTTGGACTAGAGGACCTTAGAGTTCCTTCCAACCTTCATGATTCTATGAATCTCTGCATTAGGAGGGCTGAGCCCAGCTTGTCTAAGGAATGAGCGTTATGGATGAGCCCTGCAAACAGCCATCTACCCATCATCTCCTTTCTGGTAGCAACACAAGGCACAAACCCACCCATGCACGGAGGAATGCATCCTTTGGGGCTGCTTTTTTTGAGTGCAAGCACCCCAGAGCATCCCACAACTCCTGAACACCAGTGGTGTGCATGGATGCTCCATGCCCTCAGTACCATTCCCCTGGGCTGCCCAGAGCAGGGGCTGATCTCATCCTTGGACCACA